AATATTCCAACACCTTCCTTCAAGGGCGCTTCTCCAGCACCAGCTCAGACAATAAAATACTACCACACCTTCTAATTCTAATAAGGGCGCTTCCCCAGCACCGCCCCACACATTCCCACCACCAAGAAACATGTGGTCCCAGCACCTGCACAGCCCGCGCAGTGGAAGCCTCAGCCTCATCACATGTCACATCAGAAATTAGACTTACAAAACACGACCGAACCCTGGACCCCCCCGCTACAACAGTGCAAGGGTCCAGGCCCTGAGACGTGTTTTTCGAGCGTCCGCCAGTCAGCTGGCCAGTCAGAGACCAACGTGTCGCATGGCGGCGGGGCTGACAGCCCAAAACAGCTCTTATTGGGTAGCCGCATCGTGACGTTTTGTCAATTGCAGCGGCCACAAGCGATGTCGTGACGATTTGTCAACTGCACCGGCCATCAAAATCAAAAGTCAACAACTACGAAGCCACTGAAGGGCTCAGCAGTGGCAGGCTCCTGCTCGTCGTCGGGCGTGTGACGAGTAGTGTCATCAGAATCAGGTTGCGCCTGCAGTACGAAGCCACTGAAGGGCTCAGCAGTGGCAGGCTCCTGCTCGTCGTCGGGCGTGTGACGAGTAGTGTCATCAGAATCAGCCTGCAGTGGCACCAAAGCCAAGGCCTGCTCATCGGCGGATCCTGGTCCTATCAGGGCCGCCTCCGCCGGCATCAAAGCCAGCTCCTGAGGTTCTGCTGGGGTGGAGGCCAGCTCTCGCGGACATTTGTTGTGATTGATCCTCAGGGTTTGCCATTCCAGCTGCTCGACGTGGACCCAGTCAGACTCCTCCTCCAAGTGCTCCAGGGTGACATAGTATGCCCCGCTGAAGGTCAGGACGCGGACACCATCGGTGAGGCGGCCACTGCCGATGGTGCCACTGAAGGTGTGGTCCTTCGCCCATTCGGAGTGGCCTGTGCAGTGGAAAGCCTCCAAGCTAAGCTCCACATGATCCTGCGGCATGTCGATGTGCACCACAAAGTGCCCGTGGGCAGGCGACCAGGCCACCCTCGGCGATCCAAAATCTTCTCCCCAGCCCCCAGTGAAATCACCCCCCTCGACAACGACGAGATGAAATACATCAAAAATATCCTCAAACATTCGTGTTAAAAAATATCATCAAAAATATCACCTAGAAACTTCTTCTGCTTCCTCGTGCGCCTCCTGAAGGCGCAGCTTTTCAAGAGGAGGTCGAGCAGCAGCCACTCGTCGTTGCGGTCGGTATTAAGATGCTTCCACTTAAAAAGGAGGCAGGGATGTGCCATGGCAATCACTATCACCGAGTCTCTCAACCGTCGAGCCCGATCTTCTGGAACGACGAGCTCATTATTGACATCACGACAACAACTGGCGCTTGCTCAGTCAGCACCCATTCCCCCAAAAAACTCAACCCTGGCGCTTTTTCAGCACCAAGAATATTATATGGATAAAAATCTGGCGCTTTTCCAGCACCAGGCATGCATAGAAAAACACTGACAAATCCCAGCACTGACAAATGAATTTGACTGAGGCGAGTGCGGTCCCACCCGGATTGCCCCAATCACCCCCAATCACCTGGCACCGTTCAGCAGGCATGGATGCACGGGTGGATGGGATGGATGTTGGCACACTCATCAAAGAAAAACATATATAGAATATCGTAATATAGAATATAGTAATACTGGCGCTTGACAGATCAGCACACTCATCAAAAATATATACTTGCAAATTGCAGCAGCGATGAATGGGGCACTGTTTTCCCCGACTGCAGCGATCAACAGGCCGCTGTCTTCCCCAATGCCAAATGATATGGCGAACTGCTACTTGCGTCCGTTGCGTGGCCTCTTAGTCTTCTTCGAAGCCTTTGGAGGTGCCTTTTTGGCATCAGGTGAGCCTGGCAGCCGAACCCAGCCCACACAGCCATACGGGATCCCAAGCGCACGCAAGCGCAGAGCGCCCGAAAGCGCAATGGCAATGAGCCTGGCGTTGGCATGCCTGCTAAGGATTGCCCTCCGACACCTCCGAGCCCTGCGCTTCGCCTTGTCCCGGCAGTAAAGCGCTTTCAAATACTCGCGGTCCTGGGTGGGCAGCTTCAGCACCAGTCTGAAGCTCAGCTTTCAAGTCGTTCTTGTAGTCATGAGCCCGGTTCTGCACCTTGCGCAGGATGCGGGTCACAGTGTCTATCTCAGCTTGAGAAACACCCAGCGCTGCCAGGAGGGCATGGCCATTGTCGTCTAACCTGTCAGTCACATCATCCCAGGCCACAATTGCCGTTGTGGTCTCACTGGTGAGCAAAGTAGCCTCTTCAAACTGGTCCAATTTCTCCATGGCTCGACTTCCCCCCGTTATGCGAGCTAGGCTAAGTTTAAAAATAGCCGCGGACGTCAGGATGGAAATATAGGTGCGCAAGCAACAGCTAAACATCACCAAGTGACACCAGAGAATCACATCACATCACCCTCGCTGGTTTAACGTCCCGCTCAGGACCTTCTTCTCCAACTGCACTGCAATGCCAAACAGTCGGTGCCTGACTGCGGGCGCCAATTGTTTGGACGCCGTTGGTTCAATGTCAAGTGGAGGGGTTGATGAGATTTTTGGAAGCCTGATAGAGGGTGCAAACGCGTCAACTTTTGGACGCCGTTGCGTCAAGTAAACAAATTGCTATCGAGCCGCCTTTTGGGTCAAAAGGCGGCTCGCGCTCTCTATTTTAAGAAGGGGTCCATTTTTCCGTTTTTTCCAGGGTAGGATTGAATAGATTGATCATATTCCCAGGTCTCTGGGGGCCAACATGGATTTGGACGGTGCTGAACAAGCGCCAAAATATTCATGGTTTTATCCAGAGGTGTGGATTTGAGCAAGGCTTGAGATATCGAGTCCACATGTGGTGTAGTAACAAGCACAAGGGTATGATACCCATTTCTCAGGGGAGTTGGCGCGACTTTTGACTATAGATTGATTTCAGGCCTCATGCTTATCATACCTCTGTTGTTTGGTTGGCAATGGATGGGGGTGAAAACATGCCCAGCTCATCAAATAACTTGGTCCGTGTGCTGAAGAAGCGCTGGTGTCACTCAACACTGTTTCAAAGAGAGTGCTGTTAGCGCTACCCCTTCCAGCCATGATTCCAACCCAATGAGGCTCCCGACCGGAAAGTGATGCGCTGTTCTGGCATCTGAGGTCTACACCAATGGCGCTTGTTCAGCACCACTTGTGGCTGGCCTGGCGCTTGCGCAGCACCGTTGTTGATGGATATTGATGGCGCTTTTTCAGCACCCTCTTGAGTAAAACGCATGCCTCCCTCTCCGTGTTTTGAGACACCTTGAACCGCAAATGTTCTAATTCAATGCTAAGGATATCATGTTCAAAAGTGTGTTTGCTCAAAAACGCTCCAAAGTCGTTTGGCAAGCACTGTGTGGTTCCTGCCTGTGGATCGCAATAGCTGATTTCTCAGGACGTTTGATGACGTTTGTGTATTGTTTTGTCTGCGCCTGTCAAACTGTTTGTAAGATGTCCTCTGAAAAACCACAAAAAACATACCAAAATTTCCAGACATTCTACTGTCAAAAGCCATGCCTTTTTAAAGTCAGGCTTCCACATGCCACCAACTTTCCAAAAAACAAGTTGAATCATCTCTCAACTTTTAATGAAAGCAAGATATCACCAAAGTGATCAAAAAGACTCCCACTGTTTGACACAAAACATTTGGCATTTATTTCTTTGAAAATTTATGGGATCAAAGTTATTTCTATGCCACAGGTTTTTAACCTTGAAGCCTTTGGGCTATCATATTCACAGAGCCAAAGAAAGGTACAAATTTTCAATTTTAGGGTCATCATAGGACATGGGTTTTCAGATCACCAGTCATCATGTTGACAGGGCCAAAAACCCAGGCAACAAAAGCACATACCAAAGCACAGCCCAGTAGTAGAACCTAGTAAACCGCAAAGACCACCCTATACTCCTCAGAGTTCTCCTGAAGGCTTCCCATTCTCCTACTTCTGCTCTACCAACATCCACCGTGACGCAAGGGCCGCCCACCCCAGCGCCTGCGGCGGCTCGGAGATCTTGGGCATCTTCGTGCGCGTTTGTACGTCCAGGGCCTGTGACACCTGCGGAGACTTCGGCGGAGCGCGTTTCGCCGGGTGGCCCCAAAGAGTGGGACCGGAGACCGCGGCCCCAACTCTCAGGTCTTGGCCAAAGGTCAAGAAAGTCCAAGCAAATGACCATTGGCAAAAGGTGAACACAATCTTTCGAAGGAGCGATCGGACGCTCCGAACGGGGCTCCTGGCCTCGCTACTAGGAGCGATCGGACGCTACTAGGAGCATTTTGGTGTCATATTAAGAACGATTGACATTAAACGACCTTGGTCCGGACAAACCTCCACCGCACCCCTCAACCGCACCATCGGTCGCGTCACGCCTTGGTCACGGCCTTCTGGAACTTCTGCTGCAAAAACTGCCGCCGCGCGGCGTCCACCAACTGCACGGCAGCTGCCTCGTCCAGCCTCCGACGTCCGCTCTGCAGCAGTTGCAGCCACTCCTGCGGCCAGGTCAGGCGCGTGCGGAAGAGGAGGAGTTCGCTCTCAAAGAGCACCCAATTGGGGAGGTGCCTGTTGGATGTGAAGACTCTTCGTTCCAGGTCAATTGGCAGTGCCAAGATGGGGATGTAGGATGAGTCAAAAAATGTGACAACCACCATCCCTTGAAGCCCCAGACCTTTTCAGAAAAACCGTCATGATCTGCGCACTGATCGCACCCACCCTCACCGTTTCGACACGAGAAACTGTTCATTGCCCTCTCTATCTTGATGGTTTGATGGTCCATCTATCTTAATCTATTTTGATGGTTTCAATATTGGCTTGGTTTACCTTGAAACAATCTTGGTATCAAGCCAGCAGGATTGCGTGATCTATCGCAGAAGTATCTTGGTGAAACGGATCATAGATCTATCGAACATCGCCCCCATGGACTGTCATGGACTTCGAGATCACTCCAAGAGCACTTAGCTGAAAGGGAAGATGAAAGAAGCTGGGGGTCCAGAAAACCCAAAAACTTCGACACAACCGATTCCACGACACCACATTCCCAAACAAACATGTCCTCACCATTCTCATTGTCACAGTTGTCACATTCGATAAATACAATATACCAAGCAATTCTAAAGAGACATATCATAAAGACATATTGTCAGAGACACATCCCATCAGTTGATACCAATCTCAGATATGTTTCCCTGAGCTGTTCAGGGTCCACCTGCACCTGACCAGCCACCCCGAGTATCACAGCAGAACAGCTCCATGTTTCCCAACCAGCTCGCTTCCTCATTCTTTGCTGCACTTTTCAAGATGCATCAATGCTCAAGAAGGGTTGCTGTTTGCAGATTGAGCTCCAGCACGGAAAAGCTGCGCTGGACTTAAATTGACCACAATTCACCCAAAATGGATCCTAAAAAACACTCTCCTTTCCCGCTGTTGAGCCCGGCCAAGCGCTCCTCGCGCAGCTCGGGCCAGGTCCGCGCGCTCTTCAGGCGCCAGCGGAGCTTCACCGCCTTGGCGAAGCACATCACCGGACTGGTCAAACTGTAGCGGTTGGCCACCTTGGAGGCTGAGGCTTGTGACGTTTTGGGATCGCCTCGAATCGGGGTGTGTAGTGACGTTGTGACGTTTCCCGGCGAGGGGACGGTGTGCGGCGTAAGCGTCGGGTTCCGGAGATGAACATGCGTCTGTCCGTCTGACTGTTTGACCCACTCAGGACTCGAGATTCGGACTCTTCCTTGTCCAGACATGGCTAAGATATTGAAGGACATTTCCTGCGGTTCAGGAGTGGTTTCGAATGGATTTTGGGTCTTGGTCACGGATCCCTGGATTTCGCTCGGACTCTTTTGGGGTGTCTTTTTCAATTGTGAAAGACGGAAGGTCACCCATCCTTCACAAAGTTTTTGTTTGGAATGCAGAGAGAGGGAGCCTCTTAGCCCAAGTCTGTTTGTTTTCTGGACCCGAAATCGCGGTCTGTACGCCAGTCCATTTTTCAATGACTATGGCAACTATGGGGCAGTTAAAGTCATTGACTTCACCGGTTTCTGGCGCATGGAGTCTAAAAGTCACGGGACACCGGGGAATTGCGCCTTCGCTCGGTCTCTGCCGGACTTGATAGCTTGACATGTAGGTCCGCGTCGCGGATCAAAGGATGATCGAATGGGTATCTTCATGAGTTTTATGGTGGGTCAAAACTTGGAGCCCGTTTCATCCTGGTACAACTTGACTTCCCTGGTAGGCCATTCTGCTCAGATTTCTGTGGTCAACCGGTCGGTCCCCCGATTGAAAGACCCATATATGTAAAGAGGGAGCAAACATGTGGAATCGGTATCCGTTCTCACAAAGGCCCAACTCATAAGGCACAAACTCTTGGGGGGAGCAAGTTGCCAAACAAAAGTTGCGCTTCTTGAAGTTCCTACAATCCTTTCCCCTAGAATCCTACACAATCTGACCTGGGATGGTGTGGGCGGTCATTTCTCACACCGTAAACCTTCTCGTACTATAAATATAAAACATTGAGGGTGTGACACTTGACCATCCCACACCTGCCACCACGATTGGACTTGTTAATTCGATCCACAGCTGACCCAAGAGTGTTTTGTGAAGATGGCCAAAAACATTAACTATTGTCTGCCTGAAGCCTGAAGTAGTCAACCAGACCAGACACGTTTGGCTGAACAGCCTGCCAAGCAAACAGTCAAAACCGTATTTGACCATACTGGCTCTTAACAAGGGGTAAATCAACTGTTGTTGATTGTAATGCTTCACGGACAAAAAGCCAGTCACACACCCTCTATTCACATTTGTCCCTGAGCGTTAAAGCTCAACACCGGCATCCCAGGTATTTTCAGGCATACCATTGGTAGACGGTTCCATTGGCTTACCTTGAAGCGAGAAGACGAGGATCGCAGAAGATTTTGCCGAGCCACCCACTCAGATGCTCGCAGCTGGACAAAGACGCTGAGACCCAGCTGCTTTTCGCATGTCCCATGTGCTGCAAGAACGTGTCGGATGATCTCGCAGACCTGCACACAGGCGAGACTTTCCAACATGGACTGCAAGGAGTACCTGCATCTGCTAGAACCCAAAGCTTAGCCTGAAAATGCGATTTGGGCTCAACTTCTGGGAGGGAAAGCAAGGATCTTGATGATGAAGAGGCATGCCTTAAAGACGACAGAATTCTCGACCAAGCGGTCATGATCTGTTGTTCAGTTGAATACAGATTGGGCTAGCGCCTTTCAATTAGAATGCACCTTTTCGGGGGGTACTTCAACCAGGTCTTCTCCAGATTTGCAAGAGAAACATCATCTCCTCGACGCCAAGATCGACGCCGGGATTTGAACACCAGCCTTGAAGGGTGGCGCCCAGATCGACGGGTCGACCTCATCTGCCATGAAAAGCCTTGGACGCGTGGTGAGGTCGACCTCTCTACCCTGGAAGTGCCTAATAATGATGACCTCCAACCTAGATGCGATGGCCTCCAACCTAAAAAACTATTTCAACAACAAATCTTCAGGCCCGGGAGGAGGGAAACCCTTTCGCGCAGCGAATTCGGGTCCAAAAGACTTCTGGGCAGTCCGTTTGCTGACCAGATTCTTTCCCTTTGACAACAACAGCTGGTTGTGTTCCAAGTATCCAGGTCGTTCGCGAGCGATGCAGCTGTGAGGTCCATGGCACCGGGCAACCGACCGGTTGACCACGGAAAATGAACAGAATGGATTACCAGACAGGGTCAAACCTACCAGGGGGCCTGGAGCAAGGTCACCATGACCCACTGCCACGGTGGACTCTGCATGCTTCAACTAAACCTTGATGGAAACTCAGTCCCAACCAAAAACAAATGCTTGTTCCGGTGCCGAAGTTGGCCATCGCTAGTAGAGGACGTGATTCCGCTGAAGTCCGGTCGTTGGAGTTGGATTCGCGTCCGGTCGACGAGACATGGGATTGCAGGCAGAAACGATCGGTGTGGATGGGCGTTCGAGAAGCCCTTCCAATGTGTTAGTGCAGAATTCTTCAAGAATCAGACCTTGCACCCTCTCATAACCAGTTGGCTGTTCATCCGCAAATTTTGGGAGTGATGAGCAAAAGTCCTATCAACAATTCCAATGCCCAGTAACAACTACCCTCAACGAACCATCCTCCCTGCACATCACCGTTTTGCCCATCACCGTTTTGCCCAGCGCGAGCGGTGCTCAAAACCGCTTCACCTTGCGCGAGCGGCGCGCGCACCGCGCGGCCGAGACGCTTGTCCCTGAGATCCGAGAGGATGAGCTGCTGCTCCAGGGCCACGTCGAAGGCCACGTGGCGCGTGTAGCTGCGCAAGCAGTCCTCGCTCGGAGCGGACGACCGGCCCGGCACCCGTTCTGAGCGAAGGCCAATTGGCCCTTCGGTTGGGGGGGGACGGGGGGGATGGGGGACGGGGATGTGAGCTGGCGATTCCGAGAACCAAGAGCAGAAGGGATGAAAGAACAATAGGACCAAGCTCTGTCCCAGCGAAAGGTCACCATGACCTGGCCAACAGCTGGACGGTCCTTGAAGAGGGCTTATGAGATTTGGTGTCGGATCCAAACTTAAACAAAGTGGGTTGGCCATTGTGATCGTTGTGAGTCCCGGCGAACAGACTTCGCCGTGTAGATTTCCAGTTTGTAACCAAAGCGGTGAGCTGCCGTTTGTTTTACAAATAGTTATGGACAAGCTTTAGTCCCAAGATGTATTCTTTTGTTCTTTAATAGTACCTTAGTCAGTCAAAGCAGGGCTAACACATGCATCCTCTGAGGCTGGTGAGATGCCCAGCATGCCTTGAGGTCAGGTTAAGCAAAATCCTCTTGTGTGCATGCTAGATTTCTTTCTCATGTTGAATCTTGATCAGTAACAAATCATTTGGATTGTAAACACCTCTTCACATGAGCGGTTTGGTTTTATCAAGATTCTACATAACGAACATGTGCCACACAGATCGATCATCACGCCACACAGATCGATCCATGCGCTCGATCCCTCCGCTTTTTCGCCAGGCGGCAAGATCCATCTGCGCACTGTACTTCTTGCACCCTTTCACCTCAGCGCGGTGCGCCATACGCGCAGTGCGCCATCTTCGCCTCTAAAAATGACTCCTCATTCACTGAAAACACACCCGGCACGTGGGCATGTGGGGGTGCTGGAAAACGGCCCAGCCCTGTATGAGGCGAGAAACGTCTCAAAACAGGGAAGACCCACGTGACCAGCAAGGCTTCCGGCCTACGTGGCCCACCTAAAGCTTCTTCTCACTTTGGCTTAGATAATCCCACTGCCCTGGCTGTCATACAAAACTTCATGAAGCACGATTTCTGAACCTTGTCCAGAGTCGCTAGAGCTGGGACACTCGCTTTTCACGATACAAATAAGCCAGAATTATTCTGTTGTGAATCAAAAAACGATAGAAACGGTGATGTTAAGGACTCGCTGTCCCAGAAAGGACTCCTCTTCCGGTTTCAACTCCCCAAGGTCCGAGCTCCAAATGCCCAGGTCCACAGGAGACCTTCCTCTTTCCACCAAGCCACTGACATTGCTCGAAGTCGAAGCGAGCTGGACAGCGCTGTCCGACCGTCCACCGCGGTGTGGACGGCGTCCGTGGGGGTCGCGTCAGCCATGAACTGGGCGAGATGCGTCTTGATGTCCTCGCACGGAGCAGACGCATGCCGGCACCGGAGAAAGAAGCACCATTCTTGTTGCGATGCCTTTTCTTTTTTTTTGGGACGGTTTGGAAGGGACATGGTTGGGTTTCTCCATATTTCTTTATACCTAGAGAACCAAGAACCCCTAAAAATATCATACCCTGAAAAAAACATGAAGTTTTTCAAGAACACACGAGTTTTGTTGACTTCGTAAACAAATACATACGATTGCTACGGGATTCTACGATCTTCATACCGGTTCCAAACTTCGTGCTTTTGGACACAGAAACGCAATGTATTTGATTCAAGTGGAGCCCAAACACAATGTTTTCCATAAAAGAAACAAGCCAAATTCGTAGGTGTTGGGTTCCATAGGTAGTTGATTCTTTCTTGAGTTCCATTGGGTGTATGGACATGAGTCCAGACTCTCTAGGATAAAAGAACTGCAATCATCCCACCCTGTTGGCACGTGGAACCGCACGCGCCAAACTGGCCACCGCAGGTTGGATCATCTGTCGTACTCTCTCGGTAGCGATGCCCTTTGTGACGTTCGGCTCGCGTCCGATCGCTCCGAGCTCGTCGCGTGCTCTCTGCTCGGCCAGGCGTCCATGGGCAGAGTGGAGATCCCACGCTTTCGACTACAAAGCTCCATCGATTGCAGAACCTCTCGGAGCCTCGACAGCGACTCCTGCCAGGAGACGGAGGGAGACGGAAGCGGTTTGTGGAGGGAGAGCTCCACTCCGGCGCCAGAAACGCATGGAAGAGAAGACCAAAAGAGCTCGATTTCAGCAGCAAAGTGTGAGAGGAAGCTGATCTCATGATGAAAACTGCCGGCAAATAGGTGAAGCCTCAATGCATCTCAACGTCACTGTAAGGCACACTACAAGAAAAGGCAGGATATGTTGGACTTTCAACAGTTGACCTTAGTTTACTTGCTCGATCATTCAAGAAAGGGGCCCCTACAAAATCATCGTGACCACAGTATGGGTGAGGGCATCGCCCCAACGATCCCGCCCAGCCAACGCCAATGACCCACTAGTCTGCCACACGAACGCGTCGCAGATCTGCAGAGAGTATCTCACAACATCTCACAACCAAGAACTCTTCTGTCCCTAGATCCCTTGAAGGGCTTTAACCTAAATATAACAACTTGTAATATTATGGTTTGGTGCTACATGCCCTGCACACCAAATGGGTGACCAGGGTATAAGGAGCTTCAAAGATGCAAAGTTTGATCCGCCCAAAAGACCAGTCTCAGCACCGCACTCCCATGATGCCACACGACACTCCTGCAGTCGGTACTCCTCCTGCGACCGTTTGCGACGCGCTGAAGACCCGCGGATCTCGTCGTCTCGGCATCGCTTGGCGACTCGCGGTGTGGCGAGCTCTTGGTCATAGGAACTCCTCACAACCGGCGCGAGCAACGCCGGGTGACGTGGTGCTTACTTGCCTGGTTCAGTTTGTGGAAGCTGAGACCAAGTTGAAGAGCTGGGGATTTGAAGCAGCATGGGATTTGGCGGGGGTCTTTGTTCTTCTTTCATGTGACGTTTCGATTGCAGGTTCGGAAAGGCCTGTTGAATTCCGGATGCGGATGTGGTTTTCCACCTCCGCTCTAGAACTGGGTATAGTCTGCTAGCTCGATCAACTCGGAAGTCACTGCTCCTTTCACTTTCAGCCCACATAGACATTGAATCCAGCGTCAGTAAACGAGTAGTACCACAAAATCTTGAGACAGTTCGAGATGCATCCAACCTGTACGGGAAATGCCGCACGGTTCTTTTTTTTTCTTCGGCCGTTGAACAAAACCACCCAGGAGAATCCGAATAATCCGAATCCGAGAGATGCCGTCTTTCTGGCCATGTCGCTGGTTGAAGTGAAAAGCATGGAACGCCAGCTGAACTGAGAACATGTTTTTCCGTATGCTTCGGTTGCTCAATGTCCAAAAACGATGTGTCTTCGTTTCACGTGTTTCACGTGTTTCGTTCTTTCCAAGTCCACTGACATCGGGTCCGCTGCGAGGGTTCTGACTGAGGTCCACGGTGCCATTTTCCGCACCGGGGATGGGATGAGGCGAAACGATCTGGGGATCGGATCCAAAGAATGGCACTGCGCCATGACTGCTGGGGTTGAAAAAAGCAATGCTGAAATGTATAAGTCAGGCTGCCGCAGTGGGTTGGAAACCCAGATGGAACTGGACCACCAGTTCCATTGAACAGACTACATGTAAACCGCCAGGGCTCCGGGCCAAGTACCCATCCCCCTCAGCTGGCGGACCGAGCCCGCTGTAGCGGCTCCCACCCACCACAGCTCCTGGAAGCTGGGTTTGATAAGATCTCCTCAGTTGGCAAGGTAGTTGATGGGGGTCTTTTGGAAGGAAGTGCCAATTGGGTGACCGAAAGGATGCGAACATGCCACGAGTTCGGATGACCATGAAATCCGAATACCAAACAGGTGGCTTTCACTCCACTTTCATGATTGTTCCACGGAGTGTATTTTGTTTTGTTTGGCGCGAAAAGGCTGTGGTGAATTGCAGGTTCGAATGACATGAGAGAAGCTGGAGACAAAACAGCAAAACCATTGGCAAGAAGGCAAAAGCATCATCCGCGCGTTGTCTTAGACTTGAAGCCATGTCAATGTTTATCTACTTGATGGTCATTGAGTCATTCTGATGTAGGAAAAAGCAAGCCGCAGCAAATCTCCACATTTCCAATGCCACTTTCCTCTGCCTTTGGATCCTTTGGATGGGCCAAACGCTCCGCTTTCTTCGAGCTAGTTTGAAGCCGACCCACGAGATTCCAGCGCGACTCACTTTACCCCTGGGGTCGTGGTGGACTAGAATCGGTGGCAGTGGAGGGCAGCGTTGGTCCCTCCATCTTCTCCAACGCGTCTGGGTCCCCCGCGGTTCGGTCTTTTTCGTTTCCAAGCATCAAAGGCACGCGCCACAGCCAGAAAGGCCTGTGGTCTGGGCGCACGAGCATAGAACATGGTAAAAAACACGCCAACAAGTCAGGTGAAAGGGAAAAAAACACCCAAAGGGGGTAAAACGGGTTGAAGTCCCAATCCCTTCAAATTAACACACATACATCCCACGTTGTTCTAGCAAAAAACTGTCTGCATGGAAGTGATCTCCCACTGACAACCCATGTCACTCGTTTCGATAGGCCGGTGAGTTATACACAGTTTTACTATATGAATCGATCTCTTTACTACTCAAGAGTCAAGACCACTCAGGTTTCACCACTTCTCGTGCAAACCACCTTCCACCCTCCCTCCAGGTGCCTCCGCACTGCCGCCCTTGTCGGGATGCGCTCGACGGACGGCCCTACGGTAGGCGGCCCGTAGAGCCTCCACGCCCACCGAGCGATCTACCTCCAAGATCGCGTACCTTGGACCCGTGCGACCGGTGAGAACGGCCGGCGGAGGCCATCGCTAGCTACAGCCAGCCCAGGAGGCCATGGCTAGGTTGGTTGGTCAAACTCCGCGCATGTGGCCGGTGGGAACTGCAACTCATGAAACTTGCTTGTGGCACGACCAGTGGCCTGTGGCTGATCTTGGGGAGTATCTCAGGAGACAAGGACAGCTAGACTATGAAGCTCCCACTATGACCGGCTTGAATCATCCCACTTCTGCCCAGTGGCAGGTCCTTGCTCTTTCCCTCCGCTGCCAGCGGGAGGACCGCGGGCTTCGATGATGTCGCCATTGTGTCCAACTCTTTTCGGCGACATGATTGCTTCCCGCGAAGAAAGAAGCCATAATGGCGGAGATTCCCATGGTGGAAATCGCCCTTCAGAAGCCTGCCATCATGGCAGGCTACAGAAGGACCTAATTGGAGCCAAGAGTTCTGCAGGCGAAGCAACGCTGCACAAATATGCACTGTTCACCCGATCAGAAAAATCTGTTTGGGGGTTGGCAGTTTCGGATTCAACCTCATCAGTTGACATAAAATCCATTCTTGCACTTGCTTTGACCCCTTAACAAAAAACACCCACAGGCCTTAGAAGGAGGGTAAACCCTCACATATACCCATATAACTCTTTGCCCACAGCGTTCTTCTTTGGCTCAAAGCACACAAGTCCTTGTTCGGCCTTGTCCAGTGAACACAGTGTCGGCCGACGTGAGCGAACGCAGAAAATGGTCAAACGCCTTCGCTCACAGGGTGAGTTGTTTGCGACCACCATCGGTGTTTGCGGTGAAGATCTTCTTCGAGAATCTGTTTTCTGAACAGGCCATCGCTATTAGGTTGGAGGCCATTGCTAGTAGGGTGGAGGCCATTGCTACGAACGTAGCAAGAAACTACTAGTAACTCCACCTTGGTACATGCTCTTTCCGACCGAAGAAGGCAATCCGAAAAAAAAGAGGTCCACTCCGGTGCGATGCGACGGGTCCCTTCCGAAAGGAGTTGAACATGGTTTGAGGGCAGGAAGGACTTGGAAAGAGAGACCAAAGCCCTCCAAAAAGGAGTTCCTCGTGCTTGAGGAACTCCAAAGATTGGTCTCTTTCCAAATCTTTCCAAAAATTGTCTTTCCTTAATTATGCTCACCGGCTTCTGTGCCTGGTGAACTCTTGGTGACTGGATCATATCCCAAGCCCCGAATGGCTCCATTGTGGCCTAAACTGGGTGAGTGGAACTTTCCGGAATGCGAAAAAGCGCTAGCCAGTGTCCCAGTGTCATGGTCAGCCCCTTTTTGCACCCAATTCGCAAACAGGACCACGCGCAGTCTTCAGACATGGCGCTATGTACAGCCACAATCAGCCACAGCAATGCTTCACCTGCAAACGCTGCAGCGCACCGAAGACGCCAACAGCAACGGAAAGAGCTCACTCCGAAAGACCAAACAGAACCTGAACGTCGAACTTCTCTCCGATCGGAGGTCCATCAACTGAGGAATTGCCCCTCCTCCTCCCCCACCGATCCCGCGCCGATCGCGCGGAACGGGCTCCGCGCCGTCAGCGCGAGAGCTCGGCGCCGGAGACCAGGATCCGGAACTCCTCCTGGGCGCGGACGCTGGACGTTCGTCTGCCCGGTGGGTTGACATGGCCCGGTGGCTTCGCCCGGTGGGTTCGATGTCCGGTTTGGTGGTACGAATGGATGGTTTCTGCACAGCTGAGAGGTCCAATCTGAAGGGAGGTTGCATGTGGAAGACTCCGGGACCAGCTTTTTGCTGCGCTTACTGGTTGAGCTCCACGAACACTCAGGAAGTAGACTCCAACCTCGTTTGTAGATGATTGCAGTCCTCCGATCATAAACACCTTGACTATATGTGTCCTGTACCTTTCTCTTGCTTCATCCCACCTTGAACACGAGCGGTTTGAAACACCCCGATGCTCGAACCACTGGGCTGTGCGCCTTCACACTGGGATCGCAGCGGGCCAATGCAGTGAAGCCATCCTGGCGGGCCGCGACGTCGACGGATCCGTCCACGTGGCTTACCTCCCTGCAGTTCACCACCCTCTTTGGTGAAAAGGACCGTACTCAAGGTAGTCTTCCTGACCTCGGTCCAGGCCATCCACTTCCACAGTTGGCCAATCAGGGAGTCATCTTCGAAGCCTGGTTTCCAGTCTCCAGATTCCCGGTTTCATCCATCGAAGCCCCGTGAACACCGCTGGAAGTCGCCGGAAGCCTGGTTTCCATTGGAGACCATGTGTTTTGGTCAAAGAGTGTGTGGAGGGTGGAAGCCAAAATACATGGTGTCCCGTGTTTGATGAGCTCTAAAGAGAAATCAATTGTGGGATTTCAAGAATGGTGATCTCTTGCTGAAACCTCCATCACACCGAGTGGAGTGGACCGCATTTTCAAGGCACTGCCGTTTCACTTTCATGGTTCTTCAACAACAACATCTACAGATCACAGATCTGCTCAAGCACGCACGTGTTCCGCCTCGTCCTTGCACTTGGACAAGGCGCCATGCTGCAACAGCAATTTGGCCACCGACAAATGCGCCTCACCGTCAAAGCGCTCACCGGGTGGATGCATTCATTTGTGATCTACTCTGCCTGGGAACTCACATGGAAGTGGACGGCCAACCCTCCGGTTTGGAGAGGATTTCATGGTCTTCCAAGGGGCCATGCCATCCACTTCCATGTTTGTTCCAGGGTGTGTAATAAGACTGCAGGATTCTAAGCAGGGGGACGAATACCGCTTGTGGCCGCTGGGATTTGCCATGTGTTTTGCTGGGATTTGCTGGTCCGGAAGCTGGGAAAAAGAAGCTGGACGTCTTCGCCAGTTTTGGGGATTGACCCAGTTTCGGAAAGTAAAGACCGTCATCGCACGATCCGCAGAGTCCTGGGGATTACGCCTGTGGTTGAGCTTATACGCAAAGGCTCACTGGAAATCCTTTCCCAGAGTCCAGTTCAGGCAACATCGTTAAATTTGGAGATCTCCAAAGGAGGCCTTCCGGCTTTGGATCTCAAACGCTCTCCAGGTCGGCAAGTTGAACACATCCAATCCAGCTGCGAGAATGCCTCAGATACTCACCTCCAAAGCAACCCTTTTCTCCTGATAAGGCCATGCTAACATAGACCATCCTGATGAGGCAGTCGACAGTATAGAGGTGACGAGAGAAGACACAAAGCGGACCAACGTCGGGGGTGGGTCTACTGGGTCGTCGGGGGTGGGTCTGCCTGGCTCCAGTGGTAGCTTCATTTTGGTTTGGTAGGACTGGGGTGGGTGTGTCGTAGCTTTCTTTTTGAGGCACTGGGCGGAGGTTTAGAACGAAACTCTTGAGGACAACTCTTGCATCCCGAAGCACCTTCTACGAACTTAAGGATAGAGATCTTGGGGTCCAATGATCAAGATGTCCAACAAATGTCAGTCTCTAGACTGTGAACAGCCTCTAGACTGTGCGCCGAGGACCGACTCACTGACTCAGCTTAACTCTCAGCTTCCTCGCCTCTTGCCTGTGCCTTCATGTAGATGGCTGATGAATAAAACACTCCCCCGGAGGTATAAAGATCATGAAGAGGTTTCACAATCCATCTGAGTGTTTCGTTTCTATTGATCAGGAGTCTCCACCCCCCACTCATTCCGACTCCATTCGGACAACGCCTCCATTCGGACCCGAGGACCGTCGCGGGTCCGTCCGGTCCTCATCCACCGCCAGCATCAAAGGCGTCGAGAGATCCGGCAGCACCTCGGCTGGACACGCTGGACACGAGCGGTTTCACGCTTGGTTCAAGCAAGCGCCCGTTGGCATCGGCATCGGCCCCAAGAAAACCGACTCCCGGGCAAGAATCGATTCAATAAGTCAGGTGGGATGATGGTCGTCTTGTTTTGTCCACATGAATGGCACTTGTGTGTTGGGTGATGTCAGGGAGAAGGCAAAACGTCAGTGCCTGAAAATCTGTCTTCCGGCTCTTTGGCAAAGGATTCTCAGGTCCTTCATTCTACGTCCAGATCGATTGAAGGTAAGGACTCCTTGCTTACTACGACTTAGATGCCCTGAATACGATGCTTCAGAATCGGCAATCTACAGACTTGTAATTGGGGCTGTCGTTGTCCCAATTGAAACAAACTCCCAGAAGTTTTCTAGGGAGGTGTTCATTTGGGGAACGTCTTTTGATTTATAAATGTTTTACAATACTCCACTACTCCTTGTCTAATCCTTTACTTGCGGCGTAGCAAGTTTTAGAGACTATCTTTTCTGTAGGAACTCAAAAACAACAACACACTCTCGGCTTTGGCTGGTTTTGCATGTTATGTTTTTGTTTAACTGCAATACAGAATGTCTACACAACACTTTAAATAGGTCCAATAACCAATAGATCTCTTTACGGATCGGAGTGTCCTCATCCAGGGTTCGGAGATTTGTCTGGCGGACGAGGGCGGCCTGTACTTTTTGTTGGATGACAGGATTCAGTGACAGAACCGACTAGTATACAACCCACTTTTATACTACTGCCAATAACCTGCTCCAGCAATAGTAGCAAGTTCTGACGATGCAAAGCCAGGTCCAGTTAGAAGTCAAGTACTATGATCCGGGAGATTTTGTCCAACTCCAGCTGCTGCTCTGCGCCAAAAGACTTGTTCCCCTCGACGCCACTGGTCAACCACCCATTTGAAGCGACCACCTTCGACCTTCCGTCGCTCCGCCCCGGCACCGTCGCGCCACCTGCGACGTGGCTTCGCGCTGCGTCGCTTGTCCACTGAGCTCCGGGGCAGAGTTGCAATCGCCTTGATTCTCCAGAAGCATGCGCGTCGTCTGTGGTTCGTGCGGTTCCCGCGGCGAAGAAAGGCGGGAGAGTGCGGTGTGGAGACACATCGGTATGTGACAGGCGATGGACGTTGGGACGAACGGCACTTCCCAGTGCCAGGGTTTCAGACCTTCCCGATGAGTGCTTCAGTGCCTACAAGGAAGAAACCAGCACAAATACACCGGACAATCTCATAGACCTGACACTCTGACTCACTCCCTTGGACAGTGAAGTGGTGGACTGGACACCATCCACCCTGGTTCGTCAAGGGAGACACCCTCGTTCTCCACCCACTTCGTCCCGGTCGCCCCGGTCGCCTCGGTGGATCCCGCAAAGGCACCTCAGACGTTCTCTGCGAACTGCGCGCCCGCGGGAGGGATCGAAGCGCCGCTGGGATGGGCGTCGCTCATGGGCAAAGATGACGGAGATTGAGGTTACGACCATCCTAAGAGAAAGGCTTTTCAGAAACGATCAACGCATGGGCGGCATGGCCGTGCATTATCATCATGT